GGTGTGTCTGTGTATGCGGTGTTGTGCCATAAAGTGATGGTGTGTCTGTGTATGTAGTGTTGTGCCATAAAGTGATGGTATTTCTCTGTATGTGGTGTTGTGCCATAAAGTGATGGTGTGTATGCAGTGCTGTGCCATAAAGTGATGGTATGTCTGTGTATGCGATGGTGTGTCTGTGTGTGCTGTGCCATAAAGTGATGGTATGTCTGTGTATGCGATGGTGTGTCTGTGTATGTGGTTCTGTGCCATAAAGTGAAGGTGTGTCTGTGTATGCGGTGCTGTGCCATAAAGTGATGGTGTGTCTGTTTACATGGCAATGTGCTATAAAGTGTTAGTGTGCATGTGGTACTGTGCAGTGCTAACGTGTCTGTGTACGTGGTTTGTTATGAACTAGGGGTTCAGGGTGCGTGGTTCCATGACTTGGGGCACTAGCTTTTATGTGATGCTGTGTATTAATTTGCTAGTACTTGGTGATGTGCCATAAAGTGCTGTATGGGTGCTAGCATGTACATGTTGGTATGGAGCCGTGTGTACAGGTACCGGAGACTATAGTGTGAGTCTTACTATTAAATTTTGGTCTGTGAATAAACAAACGAATGATCGTGTCTACATAATGCTTGTGAGGGTGCCTTGGTTGTGTGTGACGGACTTCATAGGGTTATTTGTGTTAAAGCACAGAGCTATGGTGTTGTGTTCCTGCTGGGGCTAGTGTACTAATCCGGCTGAAGGGTTAATGTACGTGTCTATGTATAGGTTCTGTAAAGCCTTAGACAATGCGTTCACGGTTTGTATATGCAGGGATAGTACTCCTGTGATGCTAATGTGAGGGGTCTGGAAGATGTATGTCCAGGGACGCAGAGAGTCATGGGGTAAGTGTAGGGAATTAACAGGTCGTTGTGTGGAGCAGTACTTGACCGGTTAGATCGTGTGCACACATCAGGTTTGTTCATGCTGTATATTCAGAGATACTGGAGATTGGCATGGATGAGGCAGGTGTTGCATGCGTGTATAGAGGTTTTTAGGGGATGCTATTGATTTCTGCCAAGGTTGGAGATTGAAACCTGGCTGCAGCAGTAATCAGAATAATGGGCCTTGGTTGTCTCGGAGTCCTGTCTCTCCATACAGCTGTAATACCCATAACAAGTTCTAGGAGCCCAGCAATAAAGCTGTACGCTGGGGATTTCAGGAGCTTGGGGAGTTGCACGAGTTCCAGGAAGCTGCAGCCATCTCGGTAAATGCCAGTTATCTTCTATTCGAGATCATAGCTTCCAAGAACACGTATTGGAAAGTAAAATACGCAAAAAAACAAGAACTGTCAGTGCCAGTAAACCTGCTGAATACTATATGGTCTGTCTGTGTATTATTAATAAAGTATTGTGTGCATAGAGCGGATTCCTATCATAGGTTTTGGGGAAAACGGCCCTCTACTTGATGCCAAGAGACTGCTGAAGGTTGGTCTTTTGCACCCTAGCTGCTGTGGACTACATTAAAGAACATGTCAAAATATGACAGATGACTTCCTGACAGTGCTCTGCATTCTAGTAAATGAAGAAGGGTCCCATAATCCTCGTTTCTTGCAGGTTCAGTTTGTGCATGTTTCTCCATAGATCTTTATTTAGCAGAATTGAAGGGACACCCCAAACTTCTAAAGCACTTTAGCTTGCTGATGTGCATTAAATGTGAAGAGTGCAAACTTAATTAGAAGTCGTCAATTTTATAAACTAACCTGGTGACACCCCCACCCAACTGGCTGTCAATCAGACAACCGGTGCGGTTGCTTCCTGGTCCGGTTAGCTCAGTAAAGCTAAACTTAAGAGGCAGCAATTGCCCAGAGCACCTGCCTTGCAAAGACTTCTCATTGAACCGTATTGGGAAGTCTGTGATTGGATAGCCATAGAAAGTGTGGGTGGGGGAAGAGAGGGAGGCTTCCAATTGCTAATAAAAAAATAAAAAAAAGAATCTTCAGCTTTTGCGAGCAGTTTTTATATATACCCCAATGAAAAACTGCATAATAAAATGTGTGAATGTTTTCATTGGGGTATGTCTGCTAAACAGTGATATTTCTTTGTATTTGGGCAGTAGAGTGTAGAATGACGTTTATGGTTCCATTTCTCCTTATTTTGATCATAGCTGATGGTTGTTGATTTGACAATTGTGAACAAGTGAAACTAAATGCAAAGTAATCCTCCACTTTGTCTGCAATCATGACCTATGTAAAAATGGCATTAATAATTAAATGTCAGGCATTGTACTAATACTTTGTTTTGTAATCCCTCACAAAAGCAAGTCTCGTTCTCTTAAAGGGGAAATTATACACTAAATAAGCCATGCAAACAATTATCTTAACTAACAGCACGTTGTTTAATATTTCATAGCTGCCATCTTGCTTTATAAATTGTAAATTGGTTTTGTTTGATTTATTTTAGATATAATGCTACATGAAACATTTCATAATACAACGTCTTAAAAAGAAATGTCAATTTAAAAACATACAAGTAAACATTTGGTTTTTTTTCCTGTGGTATTTAAAGGGACACTGTAGTCACCTGAACAACTTCAGCTTAATGAGGTTGTTCAGGTGAGAATTATAGCTCCCTGCAGCCTTTCTCATGTAAACACTGTATTTTGTGAGAAAAATACAGTGTTTACATTGAAAGCTAGGAACACCTCCAGTTGCAGTCACTCAGAGTGAACCAGAGGGACTTCAGAGTTGATGGAGGCATAATATGCCTCCATCCACTCAGATCTGCTGTCAGCAGAGCAGAGGGCAGCACTGTGCACGGCATCCTGTGATTCAGTATCTCCTCCCTCTGCATGCTCCTCCCTCTCCCTCTGAACTTTCCTCATAGAGATTCATTGATGCTGATTGGCCAGGGCTGTGTTTGAATCCTGCTCGCTTTGCCCCTGATATGCCTCTTTGTCAGTCTCAGCCAATCCTATTGGGAAGCACTGTGATTGGATCAGGCTACCACACGTCAGCAGACTGCTTGTTTTTCTGAGTCTAACAGCATGCAGATTTACAGCTTCAGGCTTGAATACAGTAAGATTTTTACTATTTTTATGGAGGCATGGGGGGCTAGATGATGGTGTTAACATTATAGGGTCAGGAATACATGTTTGTGTTCCTGACCCTATAGTGATCCTTTAAGTGCAATGCATCCCAATAACATGAGATCTGTTGTTGCCCACACGTCTGCTGTTCCTTTTATTGAAGTCTGCACCCAAATCTGCATGCCAGGCTTTTCCAACGTATTGCGAGCACTCATCGGGGCTTTGTTTCTTAATCACGCATGTTTTTATTTAGGGACTACACTTTTTCTAATAATAATGCCAATTACTAGGATTTGCCCCAATATTAATGTACACGCCAAGTACATTATCGGTCGATTGCTGATAAGTGGTGCTGATATTCTGTACGTTTAAAGTTTTGAAAAAGATACACAATTTCTAAAAACATTAACTAAGCATGCTGATAGCAGTCACACTCCTATCACTCTCGGGCAGTCAGTCCATGCTGAGATCCCAGCATGGGATTACTGACAGCAGTCACACTCCTATCACTTTGCGTCAACCAGCTCAGTATCTTATA